CTAACAGTTGACCACGATGTCCGAGTCGCCGGTAAAAGCTGCCGAGACCAGTGCCAGCCCTAAGAGCTCGCCGTCTAAGAAAGAGATGTGAGTTTACTGTAGTGGTTTTATGCCTTTGTGTATTTGGCGGCAATATCTTGGTTATTTTTTTTAATCCTTCATGGAAACTTATTTTGGTAGCACTTTCGAAATTCCGCTGCAGTGTAGTTGCAAGCTGCAGTGGAGAAGGTTGGTAACGGTGTCCTCGAGATCAAGTTATGTTTTCTAATTCGAGGCTTTTGCATCGATTCCACAATGCTTTGTGTAATCGAAGCGGATTTGTATTTATTTTTTGCCAAAATCGAACTTTATACATTTTAAGATTGGGAAACACTGAATCACTAACGGTCTTTGGTACATTCTAGGGTCAACATGTTCAAGGTTTAATATTTTTTAGTAATGCATTTAGATGTGTAGGAATTTTCATAACCCTGTATGATAATCAGTTTCTGAAATTAATTTTGCAATTCCGTGTACTTCAAGAGTTGGTATCTGCGTGTGTAGGATAAATATCATGCTATTGCTTTTTCTTGCTGTAGCCTGCTAGGTTTTAGAAAAATGCTAATAAACCATATGGTCTAGCTAGACTTGACAATTTTTTACAAACACAAAAACTTAAACCTGAAATTTCCTACATTCTATTCATACCCTAGACAATGGGGGCAAGCCCCCTGTACCTTTTTTACTTTATTAGGACAATTCAATTTAGAAATCAAACCTAAAATCTGGCTGTGAAGGTAATGTGAACTTGGTCTCTAAGCGGTGATATGCAATGGATATGTTTTAATGAGACCGCTGCAGCTGGTTGTGTGGTTGATTATTTATGCTCCTTAAGATGGGTGATATCCTCTTTCCGTATGTGTACATCCCTCGGTAACCAAAATTCCCCAAAATGGAGTTGGCACAGTGCTAATGAAAGGGGTGGGGTAGAGGGGGGCTTGCCTTCGCATATAGTGAATAAATAGGTGTATGAGAAGGTTAGCTTTAGAACTTTGAGTTAACATGTTACCCTGATTTTGGATCGTTTGTTACTGGGAGTGATGCATCATCCAGAAATACTTTTAAATTTATTTTATTTAAACATAGCAACTGCATCTTTTATATATAACTGGATGAAGAAGGGTGTATTGTTGCTGACAATGGTTGATGTAGAAAAAAAAAAACTTAAGGGATTAATGTAAACATGGGGTATGTAGTGGCATGACTGTATACCTTGTTTTTTTTTTTGGATGCTACACTTTCAGTTTAAAGTTTATCCTGAGTAGATACCCAAAGTTTAATGCTTGGAAATGGCAGTTCTTTACAGTACAGATGTGCTTGCCAGTCACAATTTATTCAACAATATTAAGTTGCTGTGACTGGGCATGCCCTTTGGGCACTGCCTGAGGAAAAGTTTGATAGGGTCTTTGCCTGCCAACATTCCCAGGAAACTACCTCAAGGTACATTGACACTTGATAACCATAGGCCCTTTTCAGATATGGCACTCTAATAGGTGAGGTAGATATGCTATTGCTTTTACATTCTCTTCACCTTGGTATCTATGGCAAGATAGAGCTGCATTCACACTATAAAATAATAAACTAAATGCCTTTTATATCTGGAAAGGTCAAAACTTGAGATTCTTTAAAACAGCTGGATGCTTAGATTTTTTTAAATTGCTTTTTGGCACTTGGAGCTCTTGATAGGCCTAAATATTAAACTGGAATCATTACTGAAGTAGAATATTTTATCAGCTTTGCCACTGTATAGTAAGAATAACCCAGAATCATTAACATGGTTAGTGTTGTCAAATCCCTCCATTTTGATTTACAGGTAAAAATGATTAACCAAAAGCATTGTATGCTTGTATAAATTCCTAAATAGATTTTATTATTTCAGTGATACAGCAACTCAAGCTTTAAATCACTTTGCTCAGGGCAAGAGACACTTAGTTGTTGGTGACATATCTTCTGCAGTTAATTCTTTGCAGGTGAGTTCTCAGATCATTTTATTTACCTCCATGCAATGTTTTGGAAGACTGAATTTTGAAATGAAATGACCTCTTATAGAAAATGTGGTCAAGTTTTGACTAGTATTTGGATTACTGCAAATTCCACAATTTGACAAGGTATGCCTAAAATTGCAGGAGGCATGTAGACTCCTAGCAGAGCAATACGGTGAAACTGCTCCAGAGTGTGGTGATGCTTATTTCTACTATGGCCGAGCATTGCTTGAAATGGCACGCATGGAGAATGGAGTCTTAGGAAATGCTTTGGATGGAGGTATGTTGGGTTTTAGTTGCTTATTCAACTCTGCACTTAAACCAAGGTATGGTTTAGTCTACATATGTCGGTGGTTTTGATTTTCAGTTCCTGATGGAGAAGACATGGACAATTCCCAGGTAGAAAATCCTGAGAAAATGACAGGTAAATTATTTTGTTTGTGGTTGGAATATGTGGAATTTTTTTGGCTTATTTTTATTTTTATTATATTTTTTTTTTTATATATATATGTTGCTAGAACAGAGTAAATTGTGCTGTCTTTTGCATAGAGGATGAGAAGAACGAGGTAACAGAACAGGTTGGGAAAGCACTGGAAGAGAATTTTAAAGATCTTGAGGATGTGTCAAAAAGTAAATCAGCAAAGCAGAATGGAGATGCAAAGGCAGTGGAGTCTTCAGGTGCTGAGGAGGCTAAAATGGATGTAGATTCAGCTGGAGTGTCAGATTCCAAAGGTGAAGATGGAGGGGAGAAGAAAGAAAAAGTAAAGTCAGATGGGGAGGAAAAGAGTAAACCAGAAACCTCGGACACTGATGGCACCGCCACTTCCAAAGTAGAGGCTAGCTCGGTAGATAGTGAGAATGTAGACGAGGAAAGCAAGCCTGAGAAAAAGGAAGTGGATACCAAAGATGGTTCCAAAGATGAGGCAAAGGAATCGGAGGTGGTGATGGAGGAGAAGGTCGAGGCTGATGAGGAAGAAGGTAAAGCGACTGAGAAGGGAGAGGGAGAGAAGCAAAAGGTATCGGGAGAAACTAAAGATGAAAAGGGAAAGGAAGATGCCAAAATTGAAGAGAAAGTAGAATCTGAAGCAAAGGAAGAGGAAATGGAAACTGATGGCGCTGAGAAGAGTAAGACATAGTAGGATTGTGGGGTAGAAAGAAATGAATCATATGTAGATAGCAGTAGTCATAGAATGGTTGACTGTATAGGTACTTCTACAGTTTGGATGCTAAATTACTTTCAGAATTTGGCTGCTTTTGCTATTTTGAGTGGAAAGAATGCTTTAATCTGATTCTTGTATTAAACAGGAAAATTTCCTTGCAGAGGAAGGCAGTACAGAAGGAGAGGAGGAAGAGGAAGGTGATGCTGAAGGTGAAGGTGAAGGAGAGGGAGAAGAATCTCAAGAAGAATCACAAGATGAGGGTGAAAAAGAGGAAGGTGCCAGCCAAGAAGAAGGTAAGTATTGGTTTATTGTTGGCTATAAAGTATTCTATGGAAAACTGCCCAGCTGGATATTTCCATGCATTTAAGGGATCATCTTGGGAATGCATTTAACCATTTTGGCATGGGTGAAAAAATACCAGGAGTTTAGGACATCCGATTCCCCCAAGTATTTTTTAGGTGTTAGCAGCCCTTTTCTATGTCGGCTAAAATTAATTTCTCACCTTGCCTTAGAAAATCAGTTGTGATCTAATAATTAGATGAGATTTTATAAGCTTTCATGAAGGCTTTAAAATGACAGATTTTTTTTTTTTTTTTTTTTTTTTTTTTTTTTTTTTTTTTTTTTTACACATGCCAGATAAAAAAAAAAAAAAATCATAGTAATTAATAATCATGTGCTGTTCATAGGGAGTATTTATTTCCCCTATCTTCTATGACCAAAATATTTTGTAAAATTAAATCCCCACAAATTGGGGTTAAGAGCTTAACTTGTATTCCTTAAAATTTTGGTGATGCAGATCATTTGGCAAAGATAGTTTTGGACAGATTAATAAAAATTTTACCCAATGCATGATTTGTGTAAAATTTTTATTAATCTGTCCAAAACAATGAGTTGGGGAAAAGAAATTCCTGGATCTGAGACACAGGGATCAGGCTAGTGTCTAAAATGGTGTGAGTTTCATCAAAATTGGCCAGAAAATTAGAAAATACCCTTAGAGTAGGTAGTGGAAGTGAATGTAAACAAGGTATAAATTTAAGTATTTGCTAAATATGGAATATTCTGCAAATGTGCAGGAAAGAAATTTTTGAAATTTATTGATGTTGGATTTGTGCCTCTTGTTTCCTAGTTGGCTTTTATCTGTCCTGCGTATGAACAGTAGCATGTCTGCAGAGAAAGGGTCATTGCCTTCAATTTCTTCTTGCCTAACAGTGATAAGCAATACGAATCTTAAGCCTATCTTGGGTAAAACCTAATTCTGTAGTAATCTCCTCACTAGTTCATTGATCTGCCTCCCTGAAGCCTAAACTTGATGCAGATGTTATCATGGTCATGAATTATTGTCTCTGAATGCATAATGTAAATTGGTGCTCTATTTTTGTAAGATATGAAATTTCATAAATGTTTATTTGAAAAGGTATTATGCACAAACTTGTGTAAAGTAAAAACAAAAATCAAATTGCAGGGGAAAAGACTGAAGAGGATGAGGAAGAAGTATCAAACTTGCAGCTCTCTTGGGAGATGTTGGAGTTGGCAAAGGTCATCTACCAAAAGTAAGTGGAAGTTAATTAGTTGTTCAAACATTTAATTTTCATAACTATTATTCTGGTCTGTGTAATCTTGTAACATGTTATCATTTTAGGCAACAGGATGACAATCCAGAGATGGCCAAGAAAGTTGCCCAAGTATACCTGAAACTTGGAGAAGTAGGCTTGGAGAGCGAAAATTATTCACAGGGTATTGAGGATTTCAAACAGTGTCTGCAAATACAGGTATGTTGCTTGCAGACTTTACATTAAGCAATGAAATAAAGGTATAAATATAGATTGCTTTGGACAAGTTTTGCTAGCTACTTTTCTAAACTTGCAGGAGAAGATTCTTGAGGAAGACAACAGGTGTTTGGCAGAAACCCATTACCAGCTTGGTGTAGCACACTCCTTCTCGGATGACTTTGACAAAGCAATTGAAAGCTTTACAGCAGCAATGAAGGTTATTGAAATGAGAATTGCTAACCTTGAAAAACGGATAAAGGAAAAGAAAGAATGGACAGAAGAGCAAAGAAAGAAAGATGGTAACTTGAGATAATATAGTACATTAGAATTCTTCTGGTATGCAAGTGATTTGAATGATTAGCATTTTGAGATATATACTGGAAATCTAAACATTTCTCAAATTTTAGCTGCAGAGAGACCTGATCCATTCTACACTGAGGAAGGCGAGATTGAAGAATTGAACAAATTGTTACCAGAGATGAAGGAAAAGGTTACAGATATGGAGGAAATGAAGAAAGACAGTAAGGATAGACTCCAGAAAGCAGCAAAGGTGGGTTTTCCTTGTGATAGTCTTCGGTAATGCAGCAATAATTTTCAATGGAATGATTGCTTTTAAGTTCCAATATTCAAGATTATAAATGATTCCTAGTTATCCTACTTTCAAAAGGAAATTGGATGTTCTTTACTTTACACATTGGATCCAGATGCTTAACTGCCATGATGTGGCCAAAAAATGGGCATTAGGCTGAAGTGAGTGGAAAGGTGACCTGTATGCTGGGTGCCAATTTAACTTTGTATGCTGTGATTAAGAGATTAAGACTCCATGCCTCCCCTTTGCAGTACAATTTTTCTGAATTAGCGTTATTAGATCTTGTGTAATTCTGTTATTTGGCGTTTGATTTACTTTATCCAAATGGTGGTGTTTTCCTTGACAAGACGGATTATCATGGTAGTAACTTGGTGCTGTGTGTAAAACTGTCATAATTTTTAAAATACAACTTGTATTGTTTACAGCTGGCAGAAATTGGATCGTTAGCATGGAAATAGCACCCTCCCTGGAGCTTTTGCTCTCCTAGTTATGGCTCATGGACATTTGCACAATTGCCATCAATAAATTAGGGGTGGAGGGATTTAAATGTTGCAATTAGGAAGGGTCTTTACATTAAAGAACATTGTGTGCACTCCTGGGGAGTCTGTCACCTTAGCCTTCAGTCTAAATGTCCATGGCCAGATTTTCCCATGACCATATGTTCACATCTGCCCCTTGAAACAAATTTTTTGTGATGTTATCCAAATCATATGGGTTAAGATGAAGTTTCAAGTGAATTGCTGGTAGGTTGTTCTACATTTGATCAGACAAAGCATAAGTGATATATATATATAGATGATTGAATTGCCAATTCATAAATACTGGTCCATTTTCATAGAGGCATCATTGTAACCTCTTTATTTTCTAGCTGCCTCTTGATCCTGTGGTAAGTACTTGATGGTGCTTGCTGCTTGTGGCTTATTACTGGTGCACATAGAATGTGAATGGGCATTGGCTTGTGGAACCTTGTAATTCCCCCTCCCACCCATATTTCAGCTTGCCGAGCTAGTAAAATGGTAACTAGGGTTTCTGACTGTAAAGTGTGCTCTCCCAGTTAAAGCAATTAAAGCCTTGAATTTAATTTGACCACTTTTCTGTTGTAAAAAAAAAAAAAAAAAGGCTATATTGTACTTTAAGTTAGATGCTCCAAATGGCCTAATTTTACAGATAATTTTTATTATATTTCCAGCGTAATGGCAGGCACATTTAAAATTGACTTGTGCTTTTGAGTTAATGGTTAAACGCCTTTCAGCACTAACAATTTAACAGTAACTCTGCCTTAAAGATGAGCTTGAAAGATTTTTGTCATGCTTGCAATGTAATAAAGGAATTGCTGATGCATGAATATTTAATGTCTAGTTGCATATTTTTTGCCATGGATTGATAGACAGAATTACAATGAAGTGTTTTTAAAGGCTAAATTTAAACAATAGGAAGTGGGAAAATATAACGCACTCTGCATAAATATACATTTCGTATTACTTCTAGGTTTTTGAAGATGGAACCCCCCCCCCCCCTGGCCCCATGATGTGCTGTTCTGCACGTTCCCAAAGGGAAAACACTTGTAAAACCTGCAGTAACTTCCTTTTGCTATATTCCTTCCCTTTCATGAAACAAGGGCAATTGTTTTTTACATTTTTACTACCTAAAAATTATGCATAGGTTAGGGATAGGTGGTGGCTACACCACCAGCATTACCTACTTCAAACTGATATTGGCAGACTATGGACAAGTGGGGTCAAGAGGGCAGTTAATGGTAACTTTGAAACAAGGTAATAAGTTGGAGATAAACAGCCTTTTGGGACATTTGGAGGGAATGAAGTTCTATCCTAGCAGTTTATTGGATTTTTTTATAACTAATTTTGAGCAGTGAATAAATGTTTAAGGTATCGTTTGTTGGTGTTTTACACATTACCACTATTCCCCTCTTCCTCACACATTTCTGTTTAACTGCTTTTTAATTACCAAAATAATCCTCCCTACTTATCTTGTATTCCTTCTCCACTCTGACATTGCACCTCTACCCACATTAAGGTTCTTTCAAAACTCGGTTTACAGAACTTATCTTGAACAAGTCAGTTATTCAGTAAGAAACCATTTTAAATTGTGTATATTGAAACTTGGTATTGATTATGGTCTCAATGATATGGTATTGATTATGGTCTCAATGATATGAGAATTCCTATATTTCCAGGAAGCATTCATGGCAAATGCAATTGGTGGCACTTCCAAGGCTGGTTCTTCATCACAAACTGGATTTGATGCACCTTCAAGTTCTACATCTGTAGTCCCCACAGAAATTAAGGCTTCCAACATAACTCATCTTGTAAGAAAGAAGGTATGTAAGAATTTGAAGTGATGCATGAAGGTTACCTTTGACTAACTTTTGTAATACTCTCCATGTAGTCATTGCAAGTCATTGGTTTTTAGTGGCCATTTGTCATTGCAGGGTTTTTAGTGGCCATTTGTCATTGCAGGGTTTTTAGTGGCCATTTGTCATTGCAGGGTTTTTAGTGGCCATTTGTTTTTAGTGGGTGCATTTTTAATTTGTCAGGGTTTTTAGTGGCCATTTGTTGCACATTTGTCATTGCAGGGTTTTTAGTGGCCATTTGTCATTGCAGGGTTTTTAGTGGTCATTGCAGGGTTTTACATTGGTTTTAGTCATTTGTCATTGCAGGGTTTTTAGTGGCCATTTGTCATTGCAGGTTTTTAGTGGCCATTTGTCATTGCAGGGTTTTTAGTGGCCATTTGTCATTGCAGGGTTTTTAGTGGGTCATTGCAGGGTTTTTAGTGGCCATTTGTCATTGCAGGGTTTTTAGTGGCCATTTGTCATTGCAGGTTTTTAGTGCCATTTGTCATTGCATTTTAGTGGCCATTTTGCATTGGGTTTTTTAGTGGCCATTTGTCATTGCAGGGTTTTTAGTGGCCATTTGTCATTGCAGGGTTTTTAGTGGCCATTTGTCATTGCAGGGTTTTAGTGGCCATTTGTCATTGCATTTTAGTGGCCATTTGTCATTGCAGGGTTTTTCATTTGTCATTGCATTTAGTCATTGCAGGGTTTTTAGTGGCCATTTGTCATTGCAGGGTTTTTAGTGGCATTTGTTTGCATTTTTTTAGTGGCCATTTAGTTTGTCATTGCAGGGTTTTTAGTGGCCATCATTGCATTTAGTCATTTGTTGCAGGGTTTTTAGTGGCCATTTGTCATTGCAGGGTTTTTAGTTTGTCATTGCAGGGTTTTAGTGGCCATTTGTGCAGTGGCCATTTGTCATTGCAGGGTTTTTAGTGGCCATTTGTCATTGCAGGGTTTTAGTGGCCATTTGTGCATTAGTCGCATTTTAGTGGCCATTTGTCATTGCAGGGTTTTTAGTGGCCATTTGTCATTGCAGGGTTTTTAGTGGCCATTTGTCATTGCAGGGTTTTTAGTGGCCATTTGTCATTTTACATCCCTCTTTCATTATGTAAGGGTTAGTATTTTCAGTTATCAATCTACTAATTTTGAATTTATGATTCACGATTTTTGTTCTAAGGGATGGAATGCCTTGCAATATTCAGACAAGTCGCACATACCCAGAAACAGTTGGAAAATCTGGGATACCGTCAGTTTGGTAGCATTAACTATTTCAGAAAGTATCATTGCTTGTAAATATTTTGCATGCCTTTCTAACAATATTTGTAGCAGTCCTAGCTTGGAAATGGTTGGTTGACTACATAATTTTTTTTTTTTTTTTTTTTCCAAATTTAGTTGATTATAAACCTGAATCATAATTGGTTGAAGATTTGAAAGATTAAATTAAATTGATTGTTGGCTTAAAGCTTGTATATAGCCAAATGGTTATTCCCGTGGCTTGCAGGACTATGTACATGAATTTGCATAAAGTTCAAGACTTCAAAACCCTAAGTGCACTTTTTTGTCTTTAAGCAGAGGAAACCAGAGGATGAGGTTGAGGGAGAAGAGGTAAAAAAGGCAAAAGGTGAGAATGGGGAAGCACATGGAACTGCTAATGGAACTACAAATGGCACCAATGGGCACACTGAAACCATGGAAACGGAGGAAAAGGTGATTTGAGTTAAGGAAATGGAGTTGAGGTTTATATGAAAGAAACCTGTAATCTAGCAAGTAGAAATTTTAATAGACTTGGAACTATGTAGCTAAAGGATGTTTTGGATTTGTGTAGTGAAATGCTTCATTTTAAGTTGTATGCAATCTTCCCCAGGATACCCCTTCAAATGGGGCAAGCACTGAAGAATTAAAGGAGAAAGCAGCTGAAGAGATGAAGAAAACAACAGATTTGATCACTGGGAAAACTGAGGCGGCATCCTAGATGCCTGTATAATGCCTTTAAAACACTGCCAGTTATTGGACTAAGAACTTTTGTATTTTATTGTAATGGAAGCCATTTTATTACCAGTGAACTGTGTTTTAAGATTTAAAAAATAATTTATTAAAAATGAAATGTACAATTTTTCCCGTTTTTTAACCCATCAAAAAACAAAACGTCCAAACACTAGATGTGAAGTTGTGCCTTTGGGACTGCTGGGTGCTTGTGTATGTCACCTAGTATATCAAAGGCTAGGCTCAGTTTAGCAAATTTAAGAATGAATGTCTTCAGTAAATTGCAAAAATGGTTATAATTGTGGGCAAAATATTGATTGGATACCTTACAAGTCGTTAAAAGTTGAGGTGAATGAATTGTTAAATAATGGTTAAACAAGGTCAGCTGTACTGTATGGCACTTGGCCATTCCTTGACCTAGACCCATCACACCAGACCCATGGATTTTTTTTTTTTGGGGGGGGGGGTCTCTCTCTCTCTCTCTCTCTCTCTCTCTCTCTCTCTCTCTCTCTCTCTCTCTCTCTCTCTCTCTCTCTCTCTCTCTCTCTCTCTCTCTCTCTCTCTCTCTCTCTCTCCCCCCCCCCCCCCCATTCCTAGCGCACTGCTGTCTATGGGAGGCTTAGGAGACGGACTGTGACCAATGCTGTGGATCTCCCCTAACTTGGGCCTTAGCCCTCGACTCCTAATTTTGCACAGGCTTTTCCCCCTGCTGCTTTCTGGATTCCGTCCCTTCTCCACCCCCTTCTACCATCCTCATCCTAAGGTGTGAAGAGCCGTGCTGAAAGGATGAAAGGCTAACTAGCCAGCCCTGAACGGCCCAAAGGAGCCATGGGCACAGTATTCCCCGATTTCAGTTGTCTTGCGCTTACCTTGGAGGGGACCCTGAGTTGAGGGGTGGACTGTTTTTCCCCAACATTATCTAGGCTTACCATGGCCAATAATGTTTTACCCTTATTAGGGGCAATGATGCTTGCCTCCTTCATCAAATAGCCTCACCAATTCACTCTCCCAGTTCCCCAACCCCAGGCTTTCCTTAGGCCACGACTCTGAAGACTACAACTACTACCCATTCATCAATGCCTATTAGTGCACTAACCACCCTAGTTGACTCAATCTCCAGAAGTCCTTCCTACCCTCCCAACTTTCTCACGTCTACTCCCACAGACTAATTTAACAATAGCCCCACTCCCTTATTACTGTCTTGCAGCTTTGTTCTCCATCTCTCTGGCAATCCCATTCCTGCAAAACCTCATCCAACTCTTAATACTTGTACCAGAACCATCTCCCCAGCAAGCTACCTTATGGATACATTCGCCATATTGTGGAGAATACTTGTTTAGCTGTCTAAAAGACCAGGATGTGATATCAGTACATTCCTACTCCATTCTTCCTAGAGGTCATTGAAAGAAACCCACCAACATTGCCAAAATTACCTTCAGTACACATGACCTTCCTTTTTGTATCTACATTGGTGGACAATCCCTCCGTTCGACCCTACCAACGCCCCAACCCCCTCACCGTCAATGTCAAAACTGTTGGCGCTTTGATCGATTATGACAGGGAGCGGCGTGTTTGGCAGGATGTCCAAACTGCTCCGCACAAACTAGCACATGTTTTAACTGCAGAGGCTCCCGTAATGGATTTTAGAGGCAGTCCCACTTATAAATTTGGGTCTGATGTAGCAACTGATACAAAAATGGTCTCGCTCTGTGTGAATCCAGACAGGAAGGACGCCGACAAGGTTTTGATACTCCCTACTCTAGTAATGCCGCTCACTCTGCCCCTCCCCCTCCAACCTAGGATGTACCTAAACCCTCCCCTATAATACCTACCTCCCCACTTGCACATGTACATTCTACCTAACCCATTCAAATTCTTTTGCCACGCTAAATCCACACTCCAATCTCAACTACAGCCCAACACCGTCCCGCCCGCACTCCCCGCAGCAGACAGAATATACGTTCCACCCCTTGCCTTACCGCACAGAAACTTCCTACCTTTACCTTTTATTCCTCACACGTCTACTCCACCCCAATCCCTTGCCCGTAGTTGTCGTGGGGGGGGGGAGCTCAGGAGACGAAGATTGAGACCCTATATAAGGATCTCCCCTGCCTAAGGCCTCAGCCCTCGACTCCACTAATAAGGTGTAAGAGCCGTGCTGAAAGGATGAAAAGCTGACCTTATGGCAGTCCTGAACGGCCTCCGGGAACTATGGGCACGGTACTCCCGATTTAATTGTTTAGCCCTTGCCTTCAAGCGAAAGGAGGTGGTCTGTTTATACCACTATATAATCAAGGTTCCCCATGACCAGTAATGAAGATGTAATCCCCTTATTAGGGGCAATGAGGCTTGCCCCTTTATCAAATACCCCCAACCCAGGCTCTCCTTTGACCACTACTCCGAACATTGAAACGACTATCCACTCCCAATTCCTACTAGTGAATTACCCACATTAGCAGAGAATCTCCAGAAGACATTCCTACCTTCCCAACTTCAAATTCATCAACTCTACCCCTACAACCTTCATGAAGCACCCCATCCTCCCTTATTACTGCCTTACAGCCTTATTCTCCATCACTCCGTAATACTCCCTCTTCCACACGTCCCCGACCATCCACCACCAACAACCCTACAGATATCTTAAATATTCTGTTTAGCCCAGCTAAATGGGACCGATTTTTCGTGATCCCTAATACAGCTCCTTATCCAGGCAACACTTTCTTTCAACAATGCCTCCAAAAACAAGTGGGCAGTCCCTTCCTATACCAGACGCGATCGCTCCTGTCTTGTAACAGTCCGATCAGAAACTGATTCTACAGCACTATCAAATTTAATTGATCATTCTGGCAACCCCATTCCTGCATGACCTCATCCAACCCTTAATACTTGTACCGGAACTCTCTCCCCCCAGCAAACTGCCCAGTCGATACCAAAGATTGGTCAGACTGGAGAAGACTTATTAGGATGCCTCAAAGACCAAGATGTGAAATCAGTACATTGCTACACCATTCCTCCTAAAGGTCAACGAAAGAATCCGACCAACATTGCCAAAATTACCTTCTGTACACATGACCTTCCCTTACCCATCTACATCGGTGGACAATCCCTCCCTGTTCGACCATACCAACCCCTCCCCGTCAATGTCAAAACTGTTTGTGCTTTGGGCATTGCCAAACATTGCCGTTCCACAGACCGATGCCCCATATGTACCTGGTCATAACCGATCAAGCTGCTCAGCACAAACACGAACATGCGATTTCACTCATAAGCTATAGCTCTCCTACATTGGAATATTCGCGGTTTCCGTTCTGATAGACTAGACCTACGTCATATCCTTGTTTATAATCCATCTATTATCTGCCTCCAGGAGACTTTCCTCACACCCTCCTATTCCAATTCCCAATTACCATTTTATCTCATCCCCACACTCCCTTTGTCTCGTCTATACTTATCCATCATAAAACACCTTATGTCATACAAACTACTGTCCCGTGCACAGCTATTCGCATCTTTCTTCGCCGCTGGATCAGTGATTTCAGTCTACTTCTCTCCATCCCATCCCATTGACTTTGCTACCTTTGAAACTCTTAATTTCCCAACTCCAGCCACCTTTCCTCGTAGTTGATTTCAACTGCCGCCACACTGTGACTCTACCACCAACTCTCGAGGCCGATCTCTAGAACGCTTCGTCTTCACAAATAACCTATTATTTATTCAGATCGCCCAACACACTTTGACATGCGCGCACAATCCTTTTCATGCCTTGACCTCTCTCTATGCTCTCCTACTCTACATTTAGATTTCTACTGGTCAGTTCTAGACCACTTTCCCTATAGTGACCACTTCCCAGTACTCCTTTCTCCTACTTCATATGTACCACTTCCTAATCCTCAACGCTGGTGCTTTGATAGAGCTAACTGGCATACTTTCACTTCACTCTCTACTCTACCTTTCCCTCCACCCCCCCTTACCGTCCATTTCAGATATGCTACAATGTTTTACAACCACGATCCTAAGAGCTGCCTATACAGCCATTCCTCGAACTTCAAGACCTTATACCTTAAGCTTCGCTTAAAACGAGCAGCCTGGAACGGCTATCGCTACAAACGAGGCACCCCCCCCACCAGCAATCAGCCCTTATTTCCTTTAAAAGAGCATCTGCCCATCTTCGCCGTACAATTAGAAAAAGCAAAAGAAATAGCTGGCAAAATTGTTTCCTCAATTACATCTGCATGTATTTCAGCTGTTTGGCAACGGATCCATAAATAATCAGGCAAACATCCCCCCCATCCTGCACCCGTCCTCCATATTCGAGATACTCTCATCTCTGAGCCTGTCGAAGTAGCTAATGAACTGGGCAACTATTTCAGCCAGGTCAGTAGTGGCTCTCACTTTTCCCCACTTTTCCATCAAAGCCATCAAGGAACGCACCCCTATTACCCTCACCCTATCCTCTGAAGACTCCTACAATGCTCCTTTTTCTTCTGAACTCAACGCTGCATTACAGTCGTGCCACAACACTCATGAAGGCCCTGATGGTATTCACTATCGGTATGCTCTGATAGCTCCCATCTCCGTCCTTTTAACTATTTTCAACCACATTTTCCTTCTCATTGGAGAGAAGCTCTTGTCCTACTTTTCTTAAAACCCAATAAATCAGGTACCCTACCCCAAGATTACCGCCCCATAGCTCTAAGTAGCTGCTTGTGCAAACTACTAGAACGAATGGTTAACCCGCTGAATCTCATAATCTCCTTTCTCCTTCCCAGTTTGGTTTCCGACGTGCCCGAAGTACAGCAGACCCACTTGCCCATTTCGAGACCCATTATATCGGCATTTGCACGCCATGAATCCGTATTAGCCATATTCTTTGATCTAGAAAAAGCATATGATACCACATGGCGATACCATATCCTTCAACAATTGACCTCCTTAGGTTTACGTGGAAACATGGGCGTTTTCATTAAATCCTTCCTTTCTAAACGTACTTTCCAGGACAAAATTGCCTCTTCCACGTCATCCTTTCTTTAATCCGAAGTCGTCCCACAAGGAATTGTGCTTAGTACCTCTTTATTCCTTCTTGCTGTAAATGACATTTCTACCTACCAGTCCTACCACCAGTAGCCCG